CCGAGTGCTTCCTCTTGGACTCGGGACGCGGCGTTCCGCGGTCATCCACATTGCTCCGTGACCTGTGATGATCACGTTCTCGTTCCCGGTCCCGGTGGCTACTGTTCTTCTTGCTCAGGTGAGGAGCAGGTGATGCAGCCGCACTACCAAGTTCACTGCGTCGGCCCCCATTGAGGTGCTTCTTATTGTTCCTGTGGTGATTTTCCACAGCCTTCAGTGTGGCAGCGTCGGTGGAATGTTTCGACTGCAAGACGGAAAGAAGGTATTCAGAACGGCGGACCAGATGGACCGCGCCTGGAGAGTTGATACTTTTCTCGCTGGCCTTATTGCGCTCCTCCTTTTTCTCAACACGATGCTCTTCCAAGAAGAACTTGTCTTGCAGATCCAAGCCAGCATCGTCGCGAATTTGTGTCCAGGCACCGAAGCCATACCGGTCAATGCCAACCAGGAGCATACCGTCTTCCCTAGCACCCCATTCACAACTGTAATGGGCTGCCTTGGAGGCGTCCGGTAGACGAAAAGACTTGTCGTCGTTATTCTTGCGCAGGACTTGACGGAGAAGGCGCAGCTGCTTGGGCCGTTCAATGGCTGTCTCGGCATTCATCTTGCGAACCTCTCCAAAGTCAATCAAGACTGCCTTCTTGTCCTTCTTTGTCAAAGACTTTCCGAGCTTCCGTTCATCTTCCTCAAGCCTCGAGTAGTTGTCATCCAGAGCTTGACCGCAGACCTTGGTAAAGTCATCGATGATGGAGCTCAGGAACTCTCTGTCTCGTTCCGTCAGGCGGGCTTCATGGACAATCTCATCACCACGGTCCTCCATGGCTCCGTAACGATAGAATGCCTTGAGAAGGTTGCGAGTCTCCTTCTCGTTCAAAGGACGTCTGGGATCGGACAGTAGAGCCCTCTGCTCCTCGGCCTCTTGCCGTTGCTGTTCTTCCCTCTGCCGCTTCTTGGCGACGCGGTCAGCTCTGTCATTTTCGCTATGGCGGTTCTTCACGGCGGCTCGGCGTGGTGCGCTCTCGGCGGCGACCTTGGCGAGATAAGCTTCGTGACGGCGCTTCTCCTCCTCAGCCTTGATATTCTCAAGCTCCTCGACAGGGATGATCTGGTCCCAATCAAGAGCCAGATCGTCGACCTTGACGTCGGTGTACTGCATGAAGTTGTCCCAATCGATGCCACCACTGCTGAGGTTCATCTTGTCGTCGACCTTTGTCTTGGTAACTTCAGCATTTTCCAAGATGGAGTCAATATCCAGTTGTTCAAGACGCTCCTGGTTACCAGTCTGCTCGAACATTTTTTGCGAGCGCATCTTGAGGATCCACTGAATGTCATCGGCCGAGCTGGGACCATCCATCTTCAAGCCCTTCTTGTTGAACTCATCGCGGAAGGCCTTGCCTTCATCAGTGACACCGGCCTGGATGGTGAGGTACTCAAGAAGAAGCTTGTTGCGCGCCCGTTCAAGTACCTCCTCCTCAACAGTTTCCTTGGAAACGAGACGGTAAATGCTGACCGGCTTCTTCTGGCCAATACGATGCGCGCGGCCCATGGCTTGCAGATCGGCCTGCGGGTTCCAGTCCGAGTCAAAAATCACGACAGTGTCAGCGGTCATCAAGTTGATGCCCAGGCCACCAGCACGCGTAGAAAGCAGGAAACAGAAGTCGTCACTTCCCTCGGCGTTGAAATGGTTGATCGCCATACGGCGAGGACCAGCCGCAATCGTGCCATCCAGACGTTGGAACTTGTAGCCTCTCAGGGCAAGATAATCACCGAGAATATCAAGCATTTTCACCATCTGGCTGAAAATGAGGACTCGGTGGCCATCTTTCTTCAGTTTTGTCAAGAGCTGATCGAGCAGCATCATTTTTCCACTACTGGCAATGAGACCTTTGACTTGGTCCTCTCGACGAGTGCTGCCTGCGAGAACCCTGTCCTCGGCTCCGCCAAACATGTAAGGATGGTTACTGACTTTCTTCAGTTCCATCATGATATTCAAGAGCGAATTCTTCTGACCGGTAGCGTCGGACAAGGCGGCGTAATTGCGGGTCAAGATGTTCTTGTAGTATTCCAGTTGCACGTCAGAGAGTTCGACGCGGATGATCTTCTCCGTCTTTGGTGGAAGGTCAGACTCCACTGTCTCTTTTGTACGACGAAGAATATACGGGGCGATCGAGGTGTGTAGGTCCTGCAACTTTTCCTGGGTGTCAGCACCGGTGAGAGTCTCGAGCTCTTCATCGATGATGACTTTACCCGGATTCAAGAAGTCCATCAAAGCCGAAAGCTCGGCGAGGTTGTTCTGGATCGGGGTACCGGTAATCAAGATCTTGCAGGGAACGCCGAAGCTAACCAGCTTGGCATATAGCTGAGACTCCTTGTTCTTGAGACGGTGTGCTTCGTCGACCAGCAGAGCCTGCCACTTGATGGTTTGCAGGAATGACCAGTCATGCAGAATCATCTCGTACGAGGTGATGAGAGCGTTGAACTTGGGCTTCTTCGAGTTACCGTTGATCATTAGCTCATTCTCGCGGATAGTTTGGCGAGAGGCCTCGTTGCCAAGATAAACGACATAGTTCATGTCCGGAGACCAGTTGTCGAAGGTATCACCCCATGCTGGGATGACACTAAGGGGAGCGACAATAAGGAAGGGACCTTCCTGTTCGCGGTCGTTGCGAAGCCAGCTCATGAATGACACGCTTTGGACCGTCTTTCCGAGACCCATTTCATCGGCAAGAATAACATTATTCGCCCGCGTCCAGTTCAGACAGAGGAAGTTCAGACCACGGAGCTGGAAGGTCCGTAGCTCACCACCCTTGATGTAATCGGGTTGGGCTTCAAGCTTCGTCATTCTTGTACGCGTGTCTGGATTGGTCTCGGTCCGATCTGACACCCATTGGCGAGAGGATCGGTCAAGAAACTGATCGATCTTGACCTGGAAGTCGGTGCTGATGGCTGAGGCAACTTCCCAGGTGCACTCATCATAGTAACAGCCCTTCCACTTGACGAGATACTCTGTCTCCTCATCGCCGTCTCGAACAGCTACCACTCTATCCACCTTGGTGTAATCTTCAAGGGCTTCTTCAACACGCTCTCGATCCAGGAAAAACTGCTCTTTGGTCTCAGGCGGGATGTCGAATCCGAATCGGATGAAGAGCTCATGATCAACGACAACTCTAAAGTAGTTCTCGAGCTTCCGGTAGCCTCGCACATCGCGCAGTGTTTGGGCAGTCTCCCAGGTGTCATGGAGG